TTTGCTGGTAAACACTCCTTTTACCATAGCTGAATAAAATAAAATGTCAAGCTAAGAACTGGCAAAAACTTATTTGCAAACAAATGAACAAAATAAGTTGTAACGGATAACTGCAGCAAACCATCACTGCTTCTTTATGGCTTCAAGCCTCAACCGTTGACAGCATTTCGCTAACTTTGATTGATGGAGACATACAACTGGATCATTTAGTACTGCTATGAAGAGTCAAAACTGACTCACGATTCCTTTCAAGTCAACAGAACTTCAGCAGCAAATTCTTTACCAAGACACCCACTTTTTCTCCATACTTTAGATATTTAAGCAGAATTTAGGAAAAATAGCAGAGAAGTGGATTGCCAGTATCTTTGCTATCTCACAGGACAACAGATGCAATCAGGACTTATAATATCCTGACATAATGAATGTATTCATTTCTCTGTAGAGAAGTGTTATGTTTCGCAATCTAAATTCATTCAGCTTATGGGTAGAACGTACAAATTCTTCAGACGAAATCATCATCTGTTTTTCATACATGCGACAAATCTTGTATCATTGTGGGCGAAAATTAACTGACTGTACTTATAAAAGTTCCAGCGCTTTTAGAACTTTCTAATCGCATATGTGAAGAGAGGCTACTGATTTTAGGTATATTTAATATAACTAATAAGAAATCTTTCGTATTTGGAATTCATTTCTGTATATAACTTCAGTGTATTTTGAAGTAACTAATTACTTCTAAAGTAAAGTGGACTACACTCCTGACTCCCCCATATTAGCAGTGATTTCTACTCTGAAATAAATGTATTCTTCGGTTAAGACAACCGATATTAACATAGTAATTACATATTAGTCACATATTTCAAAAATCATACTCTAAGATGGCATATGAGATGCTAGTTGACTAGCTACATTTTTTAAAGTATCTTTTTATAATCCATTTGACATTATGCTTTAGAAGTTATATTGTCAAGTGTATATATTTGCTTTCCCTAATAATCCAGAAATTTTTAAACTACAAGTGTTTTCATGTTTGATGACAAACTAGTAATGAGGTGGCCTATAGGAATATTTCAAAGAGCATACTATAGATAAGTTTTGTCTTAAACTGCTGCTTTTATCTTCTCAAGTAAGATGTTGTCTCATCACTTTTAGTTCACATACTCATGTGCAAAGCAGGTTGTAATTTAAAACAAACACTGTGTTTTAGTGCATACTCACCTTTTTCATAGTAAGGAGTATATCATTTTGTTAAGATTCAACTATCTATACACTAGGTGTTTTCAGTACAATTCATGTTTCCATGGACATACATTGAAAATCAATTTATGGTAAGGTATTAGCTTTATGAATGGCGAAGCAATACAGTTTGAAAACAGGGTCCTCCATTACTTTCTTATGCACAACAGGTTTAAAATGGCAAAACGTATTTCGTAAATCTGCTATGCCAAAACCAGTGGCCATTTCCCGGCTCATGTACTTCAGCCAAAGTTTAATAAATCTTCTATCAAATCAAGTGAACCATAAGACAGCCATCATTTGTTTACTATCATACAACTGAACAAACCAAAAATGTCAAGTGTCATGATTCTATTTAGGAAAGCCAATAACTAACCGACACCTTACAGCTTGAAAACTGCTAAGCACTTCCTCTACAATAATTGGTTTTCAAAACCTTCATGATAATCACTAACCACCCACCTTACCCTAGAAAACCTGAAGAAAAATAACCATTTCAAGCAGTTTCGGATAAATAATTTACACTCGGTTGCATGCCTTGGAGCTTGCGGAAATCTCAAGAAATGTTTCGCAAGCGGAATCTCAAAACCTAATAGAAAACCAAGGACAGTTGTTATTCAAATGAAATGGTGTTAAACATGAGCAGATACAAAGATTTCGCCAGCAACTTCTATATAAAGTATATGAATGAAATCTCTTCCATGACATCTTGCGGAGTTTACAGACCATTTAGTGTTACTGGGAAGTGTGTTCTCAAGAAAAGAGGTGATAAATAAACGAGCTGAAATAATGAAATAAAATTTTGCTCATTAGCCTGTAACCCCTAAATTTGTCAGCAATTTGAACTAAATAGTCGTGCAAATCAAAGAAATACTATTTATTTTGATTTCTCCTAACATAAGTTACTGTTGGAAAGGATTCAGTTTGCAATAATGATGACTTTTCCTACTTCTTTGCGTGTATAGGTAACCTGTGACATGAAAATATTGGTAGCCATCATATACTAAGTAGGACAGTGAATGAGACATTTTTATATAGAACTGTTTCATTTGACGTTTTCGTCTACATATATATATATATACATGAGCATATTATATGTAACTCAGGAAAACGATAATAATAGTTTGTTATTATCTGAGCTTTATATAATCGATGCACAGTTATCAATAGGTTTCAGTTTATCTGATAAGGGAATAAATTGCTTTTACTAATCAGCGCAAGTTGAAACTACCAGTGTTATAAAAGAGCACTTGGAAGTTAAGCTTGAAATGATATCAGTCACAAAAATGTGGTAGATGAATATCTTAAAATGTTTCTTTCATTAGGCTTGGTTACTTTACTTTATAAATACAGCTGAAAATATTACCGGTGGGAAAAACATATCTTTGTACAGCTCATTTATGGACGAATTGAATAAACATTCTAATTAGTATTTGAAACTGAAGTTTAATGAGGCTAATGTTTTATTTATAGTTTGGGGTTTGGTGAATTTTCGAGTTGATGTTGACCATGGACTAACATTATTTGGTGGAACTCTGGGAACCTAAAAGCACTGGACAGCTGTTTCGTTCTTTTGTGGGACCTCTTAGCAGTGCGTATGCATGACTCCACACCACCAAGGATCGGACCTGTGACCTTCAGGTTACGCAGCCAACCGGTTATCGCTGAACCATTAGGCAGGAATCCAATTATCCATATTTTCAACTTCTGGTAATTCACTATATAGCGTGACCATCACCCAATGTCACCTCTGAATATTTGTCCTCATGGCCACCAGGTTTTCCCCACCGGTCATGACTTCTCATTGGAACTTCAAGGATTCTCTCTCGAAGCTAGTCATCAATGAGTATTTGGTTGATTTAATTTAGGGGTTAGTAGGGATTTAGTGATTTTTCAAGTTGGTATTCATCATGCACCAATATCAGTTGAACAAAACAGCTGTCCAGCACTCCCAGATTTTCAGTTTCCCCTAACTGATGTCATTCCATGATGAATACCAACCTGAACAGTTACTTTTTATTATTGAAATCTAAATTTCCTCAGATTATCTTGTACATCCCATTCCTGTGGTGACCCCAGTGTGACTGTATTTCCCATATATTCACGAAGTTGTTACGAAATTCCGTCCCGCTTTTATCCCCTTTCGTTAGTTAGCATAATAATTCTTCATTATGTGAAGAATATTTGTCAGGTATTAGTTGGTTGAACGTGGTTAGCATGTTGCGAAAAATCCTTGCTGACAAGTGCAAACAAGCGCGAAACCAAACAACTACTGTCGATCGGGAAACACTTCTATGCTGAGGCTTCTAGCTTAGAAGCCACATTTAGAAGTTATGCAAGAAATCCATAGAACTCAGTCAGCACTCAGGTCTACATAATATGGTACTAGTCCCTCTGAAGTGACCAATCAATGCATAGCACTATAAATTAGTGAAAACAATCTCATACAACTCGATGGTAACATTTCCCAAAAGTGTATTCACATCGGTGTTAATATCATGCAATCACATCTGTAAAACTAAAGGCCATGTGTTATTACGCTAATGTCCGTGTTAAATGCAAGCCATAACAACCAAACCAAGACAACATATGCCAGATACTCAGCAAACTTGTATACCATAAGCTGCAACCTTTTGCTTAACTTTTAAAGAAAGTTCAAAAGTCGATAGAGCGGAAGCAGTTTTTGGTCAGCAGCTAAACAAATCTGGATAACCATTGAGTCTTGTTAACCTTCAAGGGAAAAATGAGTAGTATGAAGATACACAATTCTAAGCAACCTTTTTATAATCTTAAACACTAAATCCATTAAAGAGTAAAGCAATCCAGGGGTATTTTTTATTATTTTGCTTAAACGCTAGCAACACAACTAGTTTTTTTTAATACCGAAAGTGTGGAAGTGAAAACACATTTCTACCATATTCTGCGACAGTGTGGCAAAGCTGATGGTGTAGGCTTGAATAGTTTTCAGATGATTTCCCGAGTTGTAAAATAGTCCATTGTTGACGAAACGATTTGTTATGTATTATAAACAAAATCATTTGAGCCACTACAATATACATTTTATTCATTAGTCTGGTCTGTTATTTCTTGTATTATGCTGACAGTTTTGTATTGTCTAATTGATTAGCCAGTTAGCATTTATTGATCATTCAGTTGGTTATTTTATTATCACCAAAGCCTAGATGCGTTTTTTTGTTTTAAGAAGCATATCATGTAGGTGAATAAAGTTGCTAGTTTCCAACTGAATCATCAAATTAAAAGAATAAAACTGAGTCAGATTAACAAATAAATTGCTTCAAAAATATCCAGTGGTAAATACTACGCTCATAAGAATGAACGACTTAGTGCTCTGTATTATTCGTCTTCATAGTTTTCAGTTGCGGCCTTAAGTTAATAAAAAGATTGATAGATTGGCCGCTTTTCCTGCAAAGTTGTTACTAGACAAACTAGGTAATTTCAAATAGGATGTGTTCGCAAGTATTTGAACAACTACTGACCTAGAACTGTCTATCTGTAATCCCATAGTCGCATCGTACCAACAACTATAGTTCAGTTACTTCGAATATAATGTTTTCGTCCACTGTGTACACTTAATAAAAAATATGAGGTGAAACGAACCTTTACATGTGTGCAATTCATTTCAATAACTACTGCTAAGTAAATGAGGAAATCAACCCCAGAAATAGTAAAAACTTAGTTGGGAGGAATTATGCTCTACCAAACGTTTGATAAAATGAGTAAACTGTGTCATAATGACCACTTACTTCATCTTCCAGTAAAGATTTTGAATTGTTTCTATTCATTATCATCGAGTACAAAGCTTAGAGATGAATAATTTTTAGAAAAATTGAAGTGTCTATTTCAAAGCCATTTAGAACTCATAAAAATTCCACAGAATCTTGAAAACATTTTATTCTTGATTTATTGAATAAAAGAGTGAGACGAAAATGAATGCAGTTTATATTTTTATAATACAAATCTTTTGTTTTTCATCACTTATTGGTTGGTACTTCCAACCAATCAAAAGTAATTATTTCACAGTTGCATATCATTTGTTAGAGAAACGCCCTAGTCTATCTACTATAACTATTCACAAGCCTTTGATGCAAAAAATTATTCACAAGTCAATTACACTGATTTTAAATCAGCAACCAGTTAATCCTTTGAATTTTGAAAGAACCAGTAGCATGACATATCTGAATGCTGTTTCACCGGATATGGAAAAGACGTTCCTTAACTCGTGAACTAAAGTATACCTCACAAAAATAATTGTGACTTATTATTTTAGCGTTTTTCGATAACAGTCGTCATATCAGTCATAAGGAATTCTAGGACAAGCTTTCTTTTGGATATTATGTTCCAAAGCAATATTAGATTCCACAAATGTATGTGGTCATGTCTCGAAATAGTGATAAGTGTTGGTGACACATGAAGAACGAATCTGATAAGCTGTGCTTTCAAATTATGAATCATTCTGTTTGTAGTATTTTGTGTAGAACACAGTGTTTGTAGGTTTTAATACAAGATGTTTGGTAAAATATTCAGTCGCAGTATCGTTTCACATTGACGCAGATTAGAATTTTAACATTGGTGTTGCTGGCCTATCACTATCACCATTTTTTTCATTGTTGTGCATGGGATAAGATAATATTTGAAAATAACTTCTTTCAGATTGTTGCTTTTATATGTTCTGCCCATAATGTTCAAGTAGACAAGTAAAGTGATGATCAGGTGCTTAAAATAAACTTCAGTCATCAAGTTGTTCAGTGTAATCGATTTCAGAATACTGATTCAGTTCAGAGAAGTGTAGAGATTACTAAGCTTGGATAGTAGAAAACTCTGAGAAGCATACACGAGTCTCAATATTAAACTATTGACTCAAAGCACTTTAATTAATCTTTTTGCAGTAAACAAAAATGGAGCCTTACCTTTAGAAATATTCGGCCCGAATCTGTTGCCAAAAAAACGCTAGTAGATTTGTGGAAAGTCTAGCCCATATACTAAACATGCAGCCGATTGCTACTTTCGATTTCTACCTTTGAAACTGACCACAATAAGTGGGAAATGTATTAAAACGCGATAAACAAATGCTATAAAACATGTGGATCAGACAAAAACTCAGTAATCATGATCTTGTTTTCGTGACAGGACGCTCGACCACACCACTGGATTTTGATAGCATCGTAGCTGCACTCTCATTCTGGCTACATAAGTATATTTGTTAGTCAGTTCCAATGCATTTGATAAGTTGTATGATAATATATTTATGTAAACAAACTGTCAGGATATTGTTTAATTCCTTTGATCTCTTTTGAATAAACCATAATCCTACTTAACTGAATTTCTAAACATTGTCAAATTTTTCCTAATAAGATCACACTGTTTACTGATAAGTCCGTGACTAAACGAGAAAATATACTGTAAAATGTTTAACATTCCTGTAATAACTACGTAGAGCGCGTTCTTTAAGGAGTTTTTTTCATATCGAATCCATACTAGGCCTTAGAATTCCAAAAACGACAAAAGAGCAGTAGGTGTTTACGATTTACCTTATGCTACTTACGGACTACGGATGTTAGGAATTAGGTTTGAAATTTTGTGCAAAGAAACTAATAAATAAATCAAACTTGGGTGTAGTTTCGAACCCTGTGAAAGGATGAAAGTTATATTATTTTAAGTACTAAAAAGTAAAATGAAGTGACGCGAAAATTCTCGTTTAAACAATAAGAAAACAAGCAATATGGGTGAGGAAATATTTAGTTTCATTAAGTTCCGCGTAAATGACTTTGCATCATATGTTAATATGGTATTCTAACAGTAACAAGTTATATGCCAACCTAGAGGTAATAACTGTTTTATAATAGGTAATTAATCACAAAGTATCAAGCTGGTGATAATTAATCAAGGCCAAAAAGCAAAGTACTATGTCAAGTGGTCAGCTGTTGACAGAAACTAAGGACAAGAGGGGAACGAGCAAAATGGCTAAAACTGTAATACCATATTAGATTTGTTTATTTGATTTATAACACAGTGGTCTAGTATTATTTACTTGATGACGTTTCAAGCATAAATTATTGCTCATTATCACATCAATGTGATATTATTATTATTGTTATAGCGTCCATCCAGTGACAGCATTCTTCACTGAGAGAGAATATCTCATTAGCATCACCTCTGTGGATGTCTGTTTGACAAAGAACACGGATATTATCATAAACATAAGTGTTTATCGGAAACCAATGTCAGCCAGTCATTGCACTCATTTTTTGACTTTCGTCTCCTTGCAGTATAAACGAAATTTAGTCAGATGTTTGGTCCATTTGACAAGACCTATGTGCTCAGATGACACTTTCAATGAAGAACCCCAATATTTAGGCGACTTATCTAGTAGTAATAGATAGATGAAGCGGTTCCTAGCTAAAAATACGAACAATAATGTAAAAACCAGAGTGCATATGGCTTTCAAGAAACTGCTGTTTTCAATTAAGATTGTAGTCTCAAGGTGGCATCGTCAGCAAAATTGTGACACAGCATTAAAGAAAAGCCATAAGGAGGTCACTTAATCCAGCAAAGTTATGGTATGCATTCAACTGTTGACTGATGGCGACTTCGCGGATCAAAGACAGGCCACCCAACTTCGCCTTTTATGTGTGCATTACCGGCTCAACTACTGTGAAGCTAGTTGTATTAAACGTACATTTACGCAATGTAGTAGGCAAGCAAGATTGACACGCAGTTCAGTACTCTCAGATCTGGTCAACAATGTTTCATTCTCAAAGCCTTGAAAGACACTGATCATATTCCTTCCAGTATCACCCATATGCAAGGAGGTCGTCCTTTGCACACTACCTGAACAAACTTAGCCTGTGTTCAGGAGAAATTCATCCTTTGCCTTTGCCATGTGTATTGCTTATCTGTAATAAGCATCATCTCATTCACTCACTTTATAAAACGTTTGCAATCGTTATTATTACTACAGATTTAGCCATTTTGCTCATTTCCTCTTGTCCTTAGCACCTGTCAACAACTGATCACTTGACATACTACTTTGCTTTTCTATTCTCTTCGTGTTAGTTACCACCAGCTATATAACAACCTGTTTAAAATTTGACTATTCTATACTTTATTTAGTTATAATTACCTTGGTTACTCATCACCCAGGTGATACTTTGCGATTAATTACCCATTATGAAACAGTTATTACTGAAAGATTGGCATATTATTAATATTATTATCATTTGTCTCTTGGGTTCCTAGTGGAACGTGGGGATTCAGTAGCACGTCGCCACTTCATACTCTTCTCTACAGTCTTTTCAATCTGGTTCCACGACCGTCTGCCCACAAGCTTTCATTTCTTCCTCACATGATCTCCTCATGTCAACGTCGGATGCCCAACCAGTCGTTTTCCATTCGGCTTTCACTTGACGGCCTGGCCTGGTGATTGATGTCCCCAAACGGTCTTCACGGTGTAAACCCAATCCGTCTCCACTTCCTTCTGCATACTTGTTGGGCGATAGGCTCTTGGTTGGTTCGTTGCCAGCCAGCCAGAGTTCCTTGTTGCTTATCCTGACTATTCTGACTGGGCATCTGATCTGATCTTCAGTATCGAAGGAGCGTAGGTGGCAGCTGTTGATGAATATCTGCAGGTTGTTGGAAATGCTTTTCGTTACGCGCCAAGTCTCTCAACCATCACATTGAAGCACTGACTTACTTGACTGACATTAGTGTTGAAAATACGGATCTTGTACATGCCTTATACTGAGTGCAGTTCAGTGCAGTGCAGTAGATCTCCACACTGATTTCAGGTTGATGAAAGCCTGTCCTGCTGTCTTTCCAATCCTGGATTTGACGTCCTTACCTGTGTCTCCGACGCCTGTAGTTGAAACGATGCTGTTTACTTAGGTTAGAGATGCAATTTTCTTTAGATTTCTACTGTTGGTGGTACTTGTTTTTGTTGTTGTTGGTGGCGTTGTTTGGGTATTATCATCACCTCTGTCTTCTCTACATTCACTTGAATTCCCGTCTTCTCTGCCTCGTCTCCTGTGTCAACTTGTTGGTTTTTGTCTGTTGACCTTCGAGTTTGTGCGACAAGACATCAGACATAAATCGTCATCGGGGAAATCTAAATCCTCTAGGGTCTTTTCATCTGTCAAACAGCGTATGCCCATCTTCTTGCTCCTCACAGCTTATTGCATGATCCAATCCAGTCCAGTCGACCACAATCAGGAAGATGACCAGTGATAGTGGGAGACAATTTTGTATTGTCTTACTCCTGTTTTCACTTCAAGTGCATCACTGAGCTTTCTACTGTGAATTATTTGGCACGTGGCGTCTTCATATAGCTGTTGAATGAGGTTGATAAAAGTTTTTGAAGCTCCGTAGTGTTGAAGCAACCGCCAAATTACTACTCGGTCGACACCTCAATCGAAGGCATGTTCAAAGTTGATAAGGTTGAGGTAGAGGGTTGACTGCCATTCTATGCTCTCTTTTATGATGATGCGTAGCGTTGCATTTTGATACGCACATGATTTGTTCATCCTGAAATTAGCCTGCTCCGGTCGTAATTTTGTATCCAGTCCATTCTTTAGTCTCTCCAGGATGAAACGGCCTAATATTTTGTCTCGGGTGGACAGGAGCACGATTCCGCGCTAGTTCTTGTAAAAACTTAGGTCTCCCTGCTCTGGTAGTTTGACAAGGTAGCCCTTCTGTCAACCAATCGGTAAGTAACTTTGTTCCTTTTAAACCTTCTACAATCATGGTGTGACTATATCCGCTGATGTCGCTGCGTCTGTTTTCAGCGCTTCTGGCGGAATTCCATTTGGTCCTACTGCTTTACCGAATTTCAGCAGTTTTATAACATCCAGGACTCCTGCTCTTGTCGGACGGTCTCTATTGACTTGTAGTTCTGCCGTTGCTGGT